CAAAACAAAGACAAAGACATTGAGCCATCGGAATAGGACGAAATAAAATAATAAACGAATATATATTTACGGCTCCCTTTATAACGTGGCTGATTAAAATAAACTTCACAAGTTGTGATGCATTACGACGTCAAAGCTAAAGAGTAAAAGCCAACAAAAGTTTATTGATCTTTCACTTGTTTGTGCCTCAATATACAAATAGGGAAACAGTTGTCTCATTGGGAAGCGCTAACAACGTTATCGATTTTAAAATTAGATTGTAATAACATACTACTGGAAAATAATGAGCACATCAGTGAGTCTTGTAAATTTCATCTTCTGAAAGCTGTAATTATCTTTGTGGGGCTTTATCTATGTGTATGTTTATCTATACCAGATATTTTAAAATATATTTTAGGTAAACATACTTCTAATGGGAAAAACATATGCAATAAGTCTAAAAGCTATAAAATAGGAGGGTTAAAAAAATCGATGAATTAATTGAAATCATAACTATCGTATCAATAAGAATCCATCAATAGCTTTAGACAGCTTTATGTTATTGAGTATATTTTAACTAATGGATATATACATAAATTCAATTGATTTCAAAATGTTTTTATTAAATATAAGATATCCAGAGAGCCTAATTGACGAGTGTATATTTTGCGCAAAATGATATGGTGCAAAAGCTAATAATCAGTCAGAAGTGTTAAAAGTCATTCATATACCACATATACTCCAAGGATACAAATTAATACTAAAGAGTGCAAGACTTTGATTGCCTTCTGTACATCTAGCTCTAGAAGAAGAGCCGTAAGTAATATTATTGTTAGCTTACAAACAATCCAAAATCTTGAACCGTTTCCTTTGTTATAGACAAAATACTGAAAATAGACGAGAGGGTTATATTAAGTAAGAATTTAAGATGTTAACTCTGCAATCTAGGTTACTAATACTAGTATTATTGAAAATACGGATCTTTCTCTTGCAATTCTAATAACTCTATTTATATGTTAAAATGTACAAGGTGTGGTAAAAGTAACGTTGGCCAAGCTGGAGATTTAAAGTTTAGAATGAAGCAATATAAGTTTCATGTCAGAAACTCAATTCAGAGTCAATTACGGTGTTCAGAACATTTTTACAATTGTATCTTAAGTACCCATGACCGATCACAAGAACCGTTTTTATTTTCAGTTTTGGTTTGTAATAATGAACCAAAAATATTATGTAATGAGTGTTATCTTATAAAAAAAATTAAATACTTTAAATTTTATTTAAATAGCTTATGGATTTCTTATCTTTCTAAAGTATGTTTTATTATTTACAAGTTTTTATTAATTATGGATTTTATCTAATATATCAAATTATTTATATTGATTTTTAAAATATATTTCTAGAGGGATGTTTATGTTTACTTCAACTTCATTAAATATTACATGTATTATATATTATTTTTAATTAAATATGATGAAGAGTAATGTTAAAGCTACAAAAGCGTCACCTATCAAACAAAATCCAGAATAAATATAAATAAAAAAAATGATATTTCGAACCTAGTGATGCTTTGAATATTTATATATGAAATACTCTCGTGAATATCACACCTATATATATATATAAGATATCTCCATGCTTAATCTTTTTTTTTATTTTCTGCATTATTATTAATTTGCGGATTGAATTTTTTCTTGTTATTTTCAGAGGTTATTGGACGTAGTGAAGATATCAGACTTTAGATTAGTATGATACTGTGTTACATCATCAAAACATATTACCATCCAACTCGTGAACTATTAGGAATTTTCAGCCAAATGGAAATGATCCAATCTTCAAAACGAGGAAACATCAGGAATAATTGATAAAATTAAGACATACTAGAACAATTCATGATCTCTTTCAAATTTTATAAAGAATACATACTCACCAGTTAAGAAGTACAGACGAAATCAATAAACTGGTAAAATCTTATAAAATGCTGTTACAGTACTAATTACAAACACAAAGGTTAAAGAGAATAGAATTGTAGAAACAATTCAGATTGCATTTTAAGCACACAGTAGATAATTCAAAATGTTATGTTAACTTAATAGACTAACAAACATTCATGTAGAGTTATCAAACTGATGAAGTTCGATTTTTAGAACGGGTATGGTGAAGTATTCCAACACGGCTGTTGAGTTTCAATCAAAGTGAGTATGTTGAACAAACCCCCTTAATACACCAAGTACGAGCTTTAGCTAAATGTGTGTGTAACAACATTAATATCAACAGCTTAAAACAAACGAGGAATATATGTATAGTTCAAGCAATTCAAGACAAAAATACGAAACTCTATAACAGAGCACTTTTGGAAGGCCAATCTTTCTTCATCATTCTGATCCTGATTTCCCTATTTTTGTCTTTGATTGATTTTTTGCTTCTACGAGTTTATTCTAGTATCATGACTAATTGAAATAATCTTATATTAATCTATTCTAACTGGTACCCTGTACTGAACTAGTTGAGGTTCTTTTTAAGGCAATATATTGTGGATTAAGTAACAGTAATCACAACGAAAGCCTCATTTTTAGTGGCTTACAATAAATAAACGAGTTCAAATTAAATGAACACTTTGTGTTAACTAGAAACCCGTCCTGGTGCAATTAAAATATAACTCTTAAAACTATTTTAAAAAAAATCATTAAATGTTTTATTATGAACTTCACCATAAAGTGCGTTTGTAAATCTGTAAAGAGCGTTTACTTAAAATGTTAATGTTTACTACAAATATCACAAAATTTGCATTGTTTGTCTCCGCTATCAAAAATTGGTGACCATTTTTCCGACACAAACATTGATAAAAAAAGCACCGTTATGGCTTACATAGTTTTATTAAAAATAATCTTACAATATTAGTTTTAAATATAGAAGACATAAGATTTTTTTTTTCTCTCTCATCAGAAATTTTTTAAAATAATTTCAGTATTTAGGCATTTGTGCAGCAAATGTTGTAAATAGTTCTGCAGTGCTTAAAGACTTTTTACTTTATTAGAAATTGTTGAACAAAACGCCACCAATGTTTACAGATGTTTGTTGTAAGCTGTTCTACAATGTTTATTGACCTGTTTTTTTTTGCGCCCCAGTGGCACAGCGGTATGTCTGCGGACTTA